GTTTTTACTACATGCTCTTCAATTATAGAAAATATTGTTTACTACAATTTTTTTATAAAACATTTTATGCCACCACTCACTGTTATTTCAGAAAAAAAACTATTTTTATTAATGATGGGACTTTTCATGAAACACTTTGGGAACAATATTTGTATTTGTATTTTTGTGTTTTTAGAAAAATCATTTAAATTTTTGATCATTTTTTCATGCGTGTTTATTAATAAGATATAAAACGAAAATTCGAACACATTGTTAAAACCTTAGACTAACCTAGTCTAAGGTTAAAACATATAAAATTCAGTAATTATTTGTCATTTCTTCTTTTTTAAACTATATGTTGCCTTTGTTTGTAAGAAATTCAGACAAATTAGTTAATTTAATTTCGCGCATGCGCAATACACTTTTCCACTTTTAAAAAGTGTTTGGACTATACTCTGTTTTTAAACTAGGAGGAGCGAATTGAAAAGACGCATTTACACAGGGAAAAGTAACTAGATTTGTTACTAAGAGCGAGTTTCGAAATATAGTCGTGTTCAAAATTTATGAAATAATTATCTTTATCGGCCTTAGTCGGTAAACGGCCAATGAGCAGTTAAGAAACGAATAAATGTCATAGAAGTAATTTTTTAATTGGTCCCAGACAACGGTTGCAAATTTCACATTATTGTGATCTGAAATGTGTGTCTAAAACGAAATGTCACTGTCAAATTAAAGTCAATATGGTTGTTGATTGATGTCAGAAATACTTTTTTCTTGCTTTTGAAATCGACTTTTTGAGAATAACTATGATCTTTTTAAAATGGATATTAAATATTTAAGAAAATTGTTAATGGAATATCCAGATGTAGCCAGGTTAGTATAAAATATAAAGATCTGTTTACATTTTTAAGGATATATTTGTTATAGGTATAAAAATTAAAAGTTAATCAGTGAATGACAAGTGGATCACACAGTAACTGGTATCTCTTTTATGAGTAATGTGGATATTATGGCTTATTTAGTGTTAACCCATGGTTAATGCGCTAGAGGGCAAATAAAGGCATTCAAAAGTTTACAGGCCTATGAGTCAGAATTTGTTTTGAAAACTGGAACCAACATTTTCATAACACTACATGTCAACATATATTTTTTAAAGTGAACTATTCATACATACCTATGTATTAATTTTAAGTATTTTTAAAATATTTTTTTGTGAAAATAATGTTAACTCATTGTGCCAAATTAAGATTATCCCTAAAGTAGTAGATGGTGTTTTAAATGTTATAACAATTTTGTAAATAGTTTTATTCTATTCTAATAAATAAAATTTGCTTGAATATTTAGTTACATTTTAATCATTTTGGTTAGAAATTCATCAATTTTTAGTTTTAAAAAATCAGTAATAAAATTATTTTTTTCTAAAATACTTCGGAATTAATCTCTTCATGGTAATCTACCATCTTTTTACCTTCAAAAACCAATAATGCACAACTTTCAGAATCAGCATGTAAAATAATAAGGCGTCTTCCCTTTTTTGTAAGGCTTTTCAGGAATTGCTACCTTTAATAGTACTCAGTGTAGAAGGATCCCTAATTGTAGATTTTCAATACAATTGCTTACTGAAGAACTATTATTTACGAAATAAAGTAAAAAAACTAATGGATGAGATATAAAATTATAAAATGTCAGAACTGTCAACAATATCAATTATTAGCTGATGTTCATGCTAAAAAGTAATGTGTGAAACAGACTGTAATCTGACCAATCAGAAGGCTACAGAATTGCCAACTTAAATTCAAATCGCTCCTCTTAGTTTAAAAACAGAGTATAGTCAACTTTTCAGACTAGTCCGTGGACTTTTCCAAGCGAATAATTACTAATTTTGATTGTACTATTGTACACCTTATTCGGTGTATTACTTCTAGACATTTTTTTTAATTTGAAAAAGACATCAAATTATCACATGGATCTCTTTTACTTAATCCATTGTCCTTTGTTTCATATTATTTATTTTTTACTAGTAAAAAAGTAAAAATATTCATACCTACTAATTAATATAATGTAAGTTATTTTTATTCGCTGAAAACAAACTTTTAACTATTACAGGATAAGTTTCAGTTTGTCTTATTTTATTTTCTAAAGCGTTTGTATATTAACAAAAATTTACAATGCAAATTGACTTACGGCTGGATGTCTATTACATGCAATGGAAGTTATGATGAGCGTACTTTTAGTAGGTTATTCAACCTATTTTACATATCAGTCTGTAAACCCCCTTAGTTCATAATAATTAATACTGTGGCTATTAAATTATGCAAAAATAATATTTTTCTGTTAATTTGTTTGTTGTATGTATTATTCAGATGTTACTTCTCAAAATAATCATTGGATTTCTAAAATGTATTAACCAATATTATATTTTCCCAATGTTCATCGATATTGTGTTATTTACTTTGGAAAACTTTACTTTTTAAACACCCCTTTAAAGAAATCAAATGGATTTAAATCTAGTCCTCTTCGCCCAATCCACTTTTTTGGAAAAAAGTTGTCGCTTATCAAGACAGCATAGTGTGCATAGTGTGCAACCACGAATCATTTCTGTTTAACAATCTTTTCAGTTCGGGTAACAAGAAATATATAAATGTCAAATATCAAGTATCTGCTATAGTTTGGTCCTATAATATTCTTATTATCAAATATTTACACCCATATCCAAGCCTTTAGAATTATATTACTGCTTCCAATGTGGATATTCGATAGCACAATATCTACACGCATGATGATTTACATGATGGTTTAAAAAAATGTAGTACACACTACTCCCGACGAAAAAGCCTTAGCTCACAAGACACACCTTAAAGCCATTTTCAGAACTGCTGATAAACCCCTACTTTGACGACCTTTTCCGATACGAGGCCGACTCAATGTCAGACACTTGCCGCTCCTATTTATAGGATCTTAAAAACCTCTCACTACCCCATTTTGCCTCCAAGATATCCAATACGCCTGTCACTCAGGCAAACACAAGGCCTCTGGGCCCGATTTCATATACAGCAGAATACTGAAACGTGAAACATCTTCCCGAATCTAGATGTCCCACCCTTACCTTGCTCCTGAACGCATGCCTCTCTCTATTCTATTTACCATTTATCTGGAAATCCGCTAGCAGCATCCTGATTTTCAAAGCAGGCAAACACCCCAACTCCTTAGATATACTATCTCCCTCAAATCAGTACCAATGAAACTCCTTGAACTTTTAATTGATGATGGAATCTGGGGCTTTTGTGAAGAACGAAACATAATTCCGAAAACCCAACATGGTTTCAGATTTCATCACTTCACTCAGGACACAATCGCCTCACTTCATACTATTGTGATCACAGCAGTTACTCCCTCTAAATCTCTTCAACAGTTCTTCTGGATATTCAAAAAGCCTGTAACCAAATCTAGAGTGCTGGAGTAATCAAAAATCTTATCTCAATATCTACAAACTCATACACTCATATCTCACTGACAGAATTATCACAGCTAAAGTAGGCAACGCTAGAGTAGATACCACCCTACCAAACTCTTATCGTCCAATCTGCCTAACAGCCTTTCTTTAAAAACACTAGAGAGGATTCTAGATAGGCATATCAGAGAAGGAGGCCTTCGGGCAAACCCGTTAAACTCAATATGCCGACCAAGCAGGCAAATCGACAGATCATGCCCTGCACAATGTATTAGGCAAAATCGGCCATTCCCTAAATCACGGGGAGATTGCGCTAGGTACCTTCCTAGATATAGAAGGCGCGTTCAACAACTCCCTTCCTCAGTCTTTGTTCTCTTCTATTGAAAGAAAAGAAATCGACAAACTAACCTGTAATTGAATTAAATGCATGCTGGCAAACCGAAAGATCACTGCAAGGAGAGACTGTCACTTTTAGGCCTGCTAGAGGATGTCTACAAGGCGACGTACTTTCACCCCTACTGTAGACTATTCTGGTGGATAACTTGCTAGAAGTTCGAAGAGGTGATCTCCAACATCCTTCAACAAGCCCTTAATACGATCAACAGATGGTGCGAGAGGGAGCAGATGTATGTTAACCCCCGCAAAACTGTTATTGTCCCCTTTACCAAGAGAAGAAAGCTCGACAAGCTTCGACAACCTACCTTGGCTGGGGAAACCATTCCTTTTGCGGAAGAGGTAAAATATTTGGGAATCACATTAGATAAGAAACTCACCTGGAACCCCCAATTGGATAAAACCATCAACAAAGCGGCAGAGCATGGGGGATCAGTCCTCAACTGATCTATTGGATTTACCAAACAGTGGTTACGTACGGCTGTGTCGTCTGATGGGACAAGGGACTTCAACGGACGGCCAGAGCAAAGCTGGTTGGAATACAGCGGCTTGCATGCCTCGCCATAACTGGAGCAATGTCAACTACACCTACGGGATCCATGGAGACCATGCTGGACCTAAACCTTGTCCACATTCTGCTGGAAAGGGAGGCCAGAATGGTCTTTTACAGGCTCCTGAAAGTGGGTAGTCAATGTTACGAAGAACTGCGATGGGACCAGACAGGGCTGATGAGTGAAATTAATAACCACCACATCCTCGGCATGGTCTCGGATTCGCTAGTTCCCGACAGCACATAGAAAAGCCATACAGCGTCCTCATTCCAGAGAGAGACGCATGGAGCAGAGGAGAAAAAACCCTCTCCCAGGCACACTATGCGTTGTACACGGACAGCTCCAAAACTACAATTTTTTTTCTTGAAACTTGAGAATTTTGTCAAAAATAAACGTACTTTACTCTTGAGAAAAATTCATATTTTTAGACAAACCTCGTATACGGCTTGGAAAATTTGATATCTGATGACTGTATTTTAAGTTTTGGGTCATGCAGAATTTTTTATGAAGAATAACTTTTTTTCATAAAATTAATAATAAAAAGTTTTCCATATGATTCCAACTTAGTATATTTCCACTAGCTTCATTTTGGAATTAAATCTTAAAATTTTTCTTTTACTTTCCAGGTGGTCCTGGGAGCGGTAAGGTAACCCATTGCGACAGCTTGATGCAAGAAAAGAAAGGAGTTACTCATATCAACATGACTGACTTGTTACAACAGTATGCCATTGGAAATGGTAAGTTATAAATGCTATTAAAATTTTTGTATTTTCTTTTTATATAATTTTAAAAGATAAATAAGCATTGCCTTCATTTACAGTTTACTAGGTGTATATTAGGTGTATATATTAAACAGATAATATTCCTAGTGTCAAGATAAGATTCATATTCACACATCAAAAGCACTTTAAAAAAAATATGTCTATGGGATAAAAATGTGAGTTTATACATGAAGAAAGTAAGTCTTAAGAATATCATAGAAAATGTATTTTTTTAATTTGAATGTGTGTTAAACCGTTTGAAAAATATTTTTGGATAACAAATTATTATTAAGCCTTTTTTACAGTTTGTTGGACAACATCGGTTTTGGATATAGAACCACTATTAGACAAATACTAGCTACTTATTTTTAGGTATTGCTCGACAATTTTGATTCACCCACCTTGTATACCTGGTATACAGTTTATGAAGTGAAATTATTGTATTGTTATAAATAATATTATATTCAATAATACATTTTATAATAAATTTAATACATTACAGAATATATAATCCTACCTTTCAGTTTTCACACCAACAACAAAAGTCTAAAATCAGAGTCATGTCTTACTATATATTTATTGATTGATCACTTTATACATTAGTCATAAGATTTTCTATCATAGTTTTTTTTTAAATTACACAAACAGTCTGGTTTGTCACACTTTTTTTCAGGATCAGTGCTGTTTGGTAGACTAATGTGATCTGATTCGTTACAATCATTGTTATCAGACTTTTGATTATCAGACGAATCTGAAAAATAAAGAAAATAATAATTAATAAAGAAGAGTACGTAATAAATTAGGGTTACATCACTGGTAATGTTATGAAACTAACTTTTACTTTTATTATCATCATCTTCTTTATTCTGATCATTAGTTTTAATAGAGTCATTTGAAGTTTTTGGGGTAACAATTGGATTTTGCTGACTCTGATCGGGAGTTTCATCTGTTTTTTCATTTGTTCCTGCCGCGCGTCTTCTGCCTCTTCTTCGTCTCCTAGCCTTCCTTCTTCCTCCTCTTCGTCGTCTCGATCTATCGACAGGTTCGGTACTTTCTAAAAGAATATTAGGCCATTATCTAAGAAACAAACCTTTTTTTCTACACCCACATGGATATTATCTCTACATAACGAAGAAGTAGGCATTGTGTTCTACCCAACGAATACAATTTCATATTTATTCTAGTAAGGACACTGTACGGATTTGAAATTCGACAATCACAGACCGTATTTGGTCACCATGCTTAAATAAATCACAATTCTGTTTTTCATTCGAATGTAATAATAATTATTAAAATTTGCAAAAAATTATAAAAATACCATATTTTATACACTATCAGTCTGTGCTTTCTTTTTTAAATATCTCTTTTCTTGATATGCCTAATTACATAACTCTCTATAGTGAAGACAGGTACAGTGTGTCATACAGTTGGATTCATACGAAATATATTTTTAATATTCTACTATGGTATTAACGAAGAAAAGTATTAAAGTTAAAAAATAATTCATTGACATTACAAGCTGAGACATCTAAAAAATGCATTATATAAAAATGTTAAATAACTCTGACTCCTCAAATGGGATAGGAATACTAAAATTTTGGTGTGGGAAAAAAACAACAAGAAATTACAAAGAAATTAACAAAACAACATAAAAAGGCTTTTTATCCGTACCTGCAGAAGATTGATTGCTGGTTATTTCCTCGTCGTTAGTTTCTTCAATATAATCAACTGCGTCATAAATATTTCGTCTTCTACCTCTTCGCCTTCGACTTCTTCTTTTTCCCCTTCTAGCTCGAAAATCTCGATATAAATTATCACTGGACCGCAATTTTTGTACTTTTCTATAAATATTATAATCCGCTTGACTCATACCCAAACAATATTTTCCGTTTTTTAACTTCAACAACCCGGTTTTTAATCCGTGTCTCAGTGCTCTATGAATGGAAGCTATGCTCTTTTTTAAGTGTTGTCTCCGAATATGAAGAATGGTATCGACTTGGTTTAAGATGGACTTTTCCGAAGAGCCTTTGGATTCTTTGAGTATTGCTATAGAGTCTAAAACTTCGTTGAATAAGTGTGGAAGATTTTTGTTCTTATTCCTCGTCATGGTTATTCAATTCAGCAATTAAGCGCTAAAAAATGCATTATATTTCAATATTGAAAGTTCATTGGCTCATTTTATGAATTTAACTCCATGTGCTTTAAATTGCTGTTAAAAAAATATTAATTAGGTGGTCCTCCGAGACGCCGCTGGAATAATTCCAATCTAAACAGATTTAAATCATAAAGAGAGTGTTTAAAGTATTAATGAACCGATTTGTACATGTGTGTTAAAGTTTATATTAAATTACATTTAGGAACACCCTATATAAATACATGCTAAACCTAGCATGTTTCACAGATTTGATTTTTGCAATGAAACTATATGAGATCAACTTTAAATATAATAAATGTTATTTTCATGAAAATTATTGTTTGTAGCAATTCAATTTAAATAAAATTCGTAGAAAAACAAACTGAAAACATTTATAAACAAAATTGCGTAATGAAAACATAATAAAAACGAACTTACCTTTATTATTTTAATTTAATCACATTAATTTGCATTTAAAAACCCCAATACACAAAAAATAGCTAGATAAATAGATTAAAAGGAAAAAATAAGCAAATTTTGACATTCAATCAAAATAAAACAACAAAACATATAAAGTTAAAATACGATACACATCATTTTTAAATCAGACTTGGCTATGAAAGACAAGTATCGTTCACATAATCTCTGGTTCACATCTTAAAAAGTTTGACATTGTCGTTCAAAGCCGAGAATACCGATCAAGGAGAAGCGATAGTAGCTGTCGGTGCCTTTGATGAACCTTTTTCACAGCATGACTTTGATTAATACACAACTTAATACGCTGAGAAAACATGCTTATTTTCTACACTGAGCGAAATAGTTTGGCAAATTATCTGAAATCATTGTTATAGTTTATGCGCAAATGTAATGTGATTTAATTACATTGAAGTAGTTAGGGTTAATAGCAATGGTGAAATTTCAGCTCCAAAATATAATTCATTATGTAATAATTAATGATTTGTTATAAAAGTAAAAGACGTTTATTACTTTATAATTTATCTATAAAATTTGTTCAATATTTGGTTTTTATTGTTAAAAATGTAAATAAAAGCCCTATATTTAAATTAAATTACCTTTTCCTTCAGTAAAAATAAGGTAAATAAAATTAAGGGTACCAAAAAAATTTAGGTAACAATTAAAAAGACATTAAGTTTGAAAGTTTTAACTAAATAATTGCAATATACATATATTTTCAAAGCTTTTAGGTTCAAAAAGTACATTCATATTTTTAGAATTTCTGGATATATATTATATTAAAAGAACTTTCAAGTTGATTACTCATTTCTGTAGAAACAAGTATTTTCCGCATTATTTATTAAGCCTACCAGATAATACCCATCTATATACACTTCTTTTTTTTAATATAATTGGTCATTAAAAAATAACAAATTGAATTTATTGCATTTCATTCTATCAGCGGAAGTTTGAAATCTTATTCCATTATAACTTTATCTAGTAAAAAGTTTTTAAGTGGTTCCTTGGTCGAGCTCGTCTAGCGATTGAAAGCGTAAAACGATAATGAATGTGTCGTGAGTTCGATGCCTGCTAAGGTCAAGCAATATTTAATTAAAAAAAAAAAAAAAAAAAAAAAATGGTGTATAGCGGTTTGCGAAAATAATAAACAAATTATTAATAACATAAAATAGTGTGTGGTGAGTTGCGGTTCTGTAAAAAAAACTAGGGATGTGGTCTTAATGGAAATTTAATCCTGGACGTTTTTTGAATGTCCAGTATTCGACGTTCAAATATATTCCAGAATTAGACGTCCTCTGAATGGTCAAAAGTATGCCATTTGTATACTTTACTGGACGTCCATTGGATGTCGGAAGTCCAGAAAAAACTCTACACGTCTAGACGTTCAAAATTCTATATCGAATGGACGTCCAATGGACATATTTGTATTGTCTGGGTGATAGCCAGGCCAGGTATTTAACTCTAAATACATAAACCTTAAATAACATCTGGCTTATCTTGCTGAAAAAAAGCTCATTTTTTTTAAGTACAAGATTTCCATCTTGATCTCGCTGATTTTTAACTTCAACCGTTATCAAGGATCTATGATATCCTCCAGTAGCTCTAAATATACCTCGCCAGTCAAAGTCTCATTAATGAAAATCGGACCGACTACCGCATCGCCTAGTATTCTTGCCTATACATTTAATTTCTGAGTAGCTTGAGTATGCCCCTCTCTAAAAATGTGAGGATTCTCATCACTCCAATATCGGACATTGTTTATTGACTGCGCCATGCAGATAAAAACTACATTCGTCACTAAAGCAAATGTTTTTTATGAGGTTTGGGTTTGCGTTTATCATTTCCGTCATAATTTCGCAAAACTGTAATCTCCTATCAGGATCATCGTCCACAAGCTCCTGAAGTATCTTCATTTTATAGGGATGGAATTTAAAAAGTTTTGTCACTTTGCGTACCGATGAATACGAAAATCCAGTGGTCGTAGCAATCTGACGCAAAGAACTGGTTGGATCGAAAGTAAAGTTCCCCACCACTTCAATCTGAGCCATTTTATTAACTATTCTGTTACCTTCTCTCTTCATATTTTTCACCGATCCTGTTGCTTGAAACTTCCGCACAAGTTGCGTGACATATTTGTGCTCCATTCGCTTATCTGGATGTCTCGCATTAAAAACTCTGGCAGTGGCGCGGGCACAATTCTGCTCCTCACCATAAATGAAAATAACTTCTACCCGCTCGGCAATAGTGTAAATAATTTTACAGGGAATACATCAATTGACATACCAACTGACTGCAAAGTACTTGGATTAAAATCTAATACGTCAAAAGGGCTTGTAAAGATGCGCAAAAAATTTCAGATAAAAATGCATACAAAAAGATAGCGCGATATCACTCATCAACCGTCTTCAAAAACTGAAGCAAAAAATTTAAGTTAATTTACGACAGGAGATAAATTGTTGAATGAGGAAGGATTCTTATTATTCTCAACGGTGGTCATTTTAAGAATCTATTATGATATATGTAATTTAAGTCTATTTATTGCAATTTGTCTTGAACCACCCTGTACAAAACGAAATAATTCATACATGGTCGTATGGTAAATACAAAAACCTTTCCAACGAGGGGTCACTTGGCCCCCCTTGCTATTAAAGGTTTTTGAGGTGGGGGCTGGTGGGGCCATGGGGTTGATCCGACAAAATCAGTTGTGATATAAAAATGTGTCCCCTAAGGATAAAAATTGACCTGTTTTCGGATTTTACCTGAATATGATAAAATTCTTAGTTTCCTAATAATTGTTTCGGCATATTTTATATCTGTATTAGAATACCTAAGTGTGTAAAAAATCTTCATCTTATTACTACACAAAACAAACACCAAAAAATATCACATTGCTCACGTACTAAACACAACTTGGACTGAAGCAGGGGTTCCGGCACTTGGGCCTGGGAACTTTTTTACTGCGCATGCGCGGCCATAGCCACGAAGTTGGCTAACCTAAATGTGTCATCTGTCAATGTGTCATCTGTCAATTCTTCTTCTTTTTTTTATTAGTTGTCAATTCTTCTTCTTTTCGCTGTCAGTTTTTGTTGGCTGTGGAACGCGGGAGAAAAAGGCCATCGGCTGCGGCGGCGGCGCCCTCTGGCGGTTGGATTAGAATTTGTCATCTGTCAGGTGTCTGTCATCATCTGTCAGCTGTCCGTGTGTGTGTGTCATACGGTCGATCCGTCAACTGCCCCGAAGAGGATTTCGCCAATGAGCGGCGAACATTATCCCAGTTTAAACGGTCGTTAGACAGCTGCCCGTGGCCCCGGGGCCCGCCACGAGGCGCGCGCCACGCGGAGTCGCGCCGATGAACATAACCCCACTTTTAACGGTCGATCCGTCAATTGCCCCGATGAGGATTTCCGCCGTTGAGGTGAACATAACCCCCGCTTTGAACGATCGGCAGCCCGGGGGCCCGCCACGCGGAGACGCGCCGATGAACATAACCCCCATGGGGGGAGTCGTCAATTCCTAACCTCTTTTACGTTGAAAAAAAAATCTATTCGAGATTGTAAATTATATGTTGGTTAACCTTGGCGACCATCGTTCACGTGAACTAAGGATCTGACAGGTGACAGTTGACGGATCGCTGGAGTACCGGATTCCCGCCATTTTCGACCTAAGGCGACCGATGACGGGGTGACGGGTTGACAGATGACCTTAGCTAATGGCAGCAATCGTGACGACAGATTCGAATGAGTATCCGTCTTTTCCCTGGCGTCCTGGGAATCCGACTGTCTAGGAATCTGACGACCTGGGAATCCGACGACCTGGGAATCCGACAGTCGGGGAATCCGACGGTCTGGGAATCCGACGTCCTGGGAATCCACCGTTCTGGGAATCCGACGTCCTGGCGTCCTGCGTTCCCAGAAAGGCTGCGAATACGACAGCGCCACGACGCCGCACGCAACGGACGCGACGCACGTACGCAACGCACGCAAGGTATGTGTACCGAAAAGTTTGACGTTTGACGTTTAACGACTGACGTTTCACGTTTGACGTTTCACGTTTGACGTTTCACGTTTGACGTTTCACGTTTGACGTTTTGACGTTTGACGACTGACGTTTCACGTTTCACGTTTCACGTTTGACGTTTGACGTTTGACGTTTGACGTTTGACGTTTGACTGTTAGTTTCTGCTAGTATCGAGGGTAAAATAACTACTGCTACTACTACAGCTGGGTTGGCCGAGCGTCAAGGTTAACAACCTAGATCTCCGAGAGGAGGCGTATCCTACACCCGACAATATTAGTAAAATAAGTATAGTATTCAGTATTGAAATGTCTAGCGAAGAGAATAGACGTAGAATTGAAGAGTTTGCAGAGAAAGTTCAAAAACTAAGAAGAGACATAAAATTATATGAAGATAAAAAACAAGTTTTAAGAGATTTGACAAATTTAAGTCTTTGGGATAAAGGCTTTGAGAGATATCATCCTAGACCACTTAGAAGAATCCAACCGACGCAAATATGGCCATCTTAAAGGCTAATTTCATTATACTTACGGCTATATTAAACAACGTACTGTATACCAATGTACCGTTGGGCGTACAACAGATGGCGATACGTTTTGATAATCAAACGGAATGGCGAAAGATGAATTTCTCGGTGGTAAATAATATGAAGCTAAATACGTTTTCCATAGCAATCGATGAAGCAAAGAGATACAAATTAAAATTGATTTTTAATGATGGCACTGAAGGAGAATTCAAAGATTGGCATGCTGTTACGACTCCACCACCACCACCGATCGATTTGAGTGACATGTCAGAGCCCAAATATTCTAAATTATATGTAGTTAGTTGTATAACACTATCATCTACTTTGTTTATAATATTGAAAATTATTGTAAAAATTGTAAATAAAAAATTTTATTCTTCTTGTAAAACGAAAATAAATGCATGAAATTAATAAGGGGTTTCAATTAAAAAACATTTCCTTTAATAATCATTTATTAATAACAAAAAAATTACAAAGGTATGCAATTAAGAAACCATTGGCGTAGACTTTCGACGTTCTTCTGGGTACATTTAAATGATCCATTGGCGTGGTACATGCAGGTTTTGGAGTCACTACTGAATTTTTCTGTTGCACACGGGGTTCCATCGAACTTGCATACATCTACTATTATAGGACGTGACACGTGACACTTTTTTAGTAAAAATTCGGCTTTTTC